GAGACCGGCACTTGCTGTTTGTCACACAAACAAGCGCGGGCGTGGTAACATGGGCTGCGGTGTATTTTTCTCAGTCATTCACTAAATTAATTTCTAAATAATCCCACTGCAATGGAAGTGCAGGTGTGGGCTGAATTGCAAGGACACAGGTTATAATGTAGGAATTTCTTCAGAGTTATATGAGAAGCTGGAACAATCACTTACAACGAAACCCTGGATGTGTGAAAATCAAAATTATCTTAATCGAATGAAAGCTCATATAATTTGGTAGAAAAAGTTAGAATGCGCCAGTGCCCTGAGAACATACATCATATTGATCCCAGGAAACGGACGCGGCACAGCCTCCGGGAGCTGTTGGGGCCGCGCCGGGAGGAGCTGGCTGAGGGTGCAGCATGTCCGGCCAGTGAGGCCGTGACGAGAGGCGCTGAGCTCATTGCCCTGGTCCACTGAGCACACTTGGGAGCTTCCCCTTTTATTTTTCAGTCACAGCTACACTCAGTGTCATTTTGTTCTGGTTTCAGGTGCACAGCACAGCAGGCAGTCAAGCTTACACTTCACAGGGGGTGCAGTGCCCGCCTGGTACCTTAATAGTTGGGGTAGCTACATCTTTTCTTTAGCAAAACCACATTCGCGGTTCAGTAACCATTGATCCTATTGGAGGGTCGGGACCCGTGTTGCCCACTCACCTTGGAATTTTATCCCAGGTTTGTGGTTGGGCGTCAGGGAGGGTCAGAAATCCCTGAAAATGTCTTTGAAATGCGAAGGCTCTCTGAGGAGGGGCCGGCATCTTCCCCTTTCATTTCTCCAGGTTGTGTTCTTTTGTTGGGGGAGGGTTGAGGAAGCCCTGGATTTAAAGTGTCAAACAAACAAAAAGACCCAGGAGGGTCCCGGAGAGCCCCTTGCTAGGGCAGAGCTGTGGGCGCAGCACCTGGCTCCAGGGCCTGGCTCCCAAGTGTGAGCAGCACACATTAGCGTGGCAGGGCTCCGGGTTGGGGGTTTGTGGATGGGCGTGGCGGGAGGACGGGCGGGGGCCACTGGGGGGGACAGCCGAGGAGCACCCAGGACGGCGACCCATCCATGTGGTGGTGGTGAGCAGAGAGGAAGGACACGGCCCTGCAAACCCTTTCCGATGGGACACCGTTGCTCCGACTGCCCACTCACCGACCGCCTGTCCCCGCAGGTGCACAGCAAGGACAAGAAGTACGTGTGCAAGCTGTGCAGCCGGGCGTTCATGTCGGCCGCCAGCGTGGGCATCAAGCACGGCTCGCGGCGCCACGGCGTGTGTGCCGACTGCGCGGGCCGCGGCGCGGCCGGGCCGCTGGATGGGGTGGGGGCCGTGGGCTCCCCGGAGCTGTTCTCCAGTGACGGGCCCTACCTGGAGGACCCCGACGACCCTCGCGGGGACGGCGAGGAGGAGCTGGGTGAGGACGAGGACGATGGCCTGGCCCATGAGGACGCACTGCTGGGGGAGGACAAGGAAGATGAGGACTCGCCTCGGGGGCCCCGCAGCCCCTTGGGGTCGGCTGGCAAGGACTTTGCCTGGATCTCCTAGGCCCTGGGCCGGGCACCAGTGTGGTGGCTGTGCCACCCCTCCACCTGTGTGTGCATGCTTAGGGGTCTCCCTTACCCGGGAGGGCCATCTGAGCCCCGCAGCCCCTCCTCCTGGCCCCTTGGTTCTGCTCCTGCCCCTAGACATACCCGAGGGCCAGCCCTGTGGTCTCAGGAGCAGGTGTGGCCCCCGCCACGGGGGCTCTGGGATGAAACACAAAGTTGGTGGGGTACGGAGAGGGTTCCCACCTCTCATCTTTGTGGGTCAGAGGGTCCCCACAGGTGCATGTGGGAGACGCAGCAAAGGGCCTCGGACACGTGATGCCATAGTGGCCAGGTCAGGTCAGCACTGCTTGGGTGTCGGTGTGGCCCCGAGGCCACAGGTCCGAGAGATGAGGAGCTCTGCACCCACCCACGCCCCCAGCGCTGCAGCCCTCCTGCCCTCCGTAGCCTCCCGCAGCCCGTTCCCTGCCTGCAGCCTGGCTCTGGAGGCTCGGGCCTCCTACAGAAGCCCTGGCCTCTGGGCCTTGGTGCTCAACACAAAGCAGCTGCAGCAGCCCTGCCGGCCTGAGGGCTCCCAGGTGCTAACTGCTGGTGGGGCGGGCAGCTGGGTCCATGGGGTCCCACTCTTCCATGTGCACTTCTTTGGGGAGCCTGCGCGGCCTGGTCCCCTGGCTCTCTCCACCCTGTGGCACCCAGGCCACGCCTGCTGCCCCACCGCGGAACTAGCCTTTGCTGCTGCTAACACTGGAGGCGGCATCCTGCCTGCCACGCACCGTCCTGCCCCCGAACGGGTAACCACGCTGTTTAAGTAGAGACGTGCTGAGATGGGCGCACAGAGCGGCTGTTTGGCTTTATTCCTCGCGCCTGACTGGGCAGCTGCCTCTCCTTTAGCCTGTGGCCGGGCCCTCGTGCTGCCTTTCAGCGCTCACAGCCTGCTCTCCTTTGTTCCGAGCGAAAAGCAAAGGCTCTGCCTCGCGCACGGCCTGCTGGCCAGCACCCCGTCTGGCTGAGGGCAGACCCTCCTCTTCCTCGTCAAGGCTGTTTTGGCACCTGTTCCTCAGACTCCCACCTCCTGCCGCCTCGCTCAGGCACAGCACGCGCCCTGCCAGGGCTCAAGGGTGCCAGAGAGAGCCGCGGTTTTTCCTCTGCCCAGACTGAGCCCAGTGGCTTTTACCAAGTTTCTTATTGAGTCACATCTATTCTTCCCAGTGGAACCCCCCCACAAGCCCTCATGTAGGTTCCAGTGGCCCCAGAGGAATAACCTTTCTGCTGGGGTTGGGGGACCCGCCTTGGCCCAAGTGGGTGCATGGGATATGGTGCTGTCCTTGAAGTCCTGCCCCAGGGGAGAAGTTGCCGCCTTTGCTTTTACTTATTTATTTTTTTAAATGAAATCAGCCGCCATTCCATCCATTAGCAGAGGGTGCTCTGGGAGGGGCTGCCGCCTGGCTGCCTGCACCCACTTCCCTCAGCTGCAGACCCTGTGAGCCCCTGACACTGTGTCCTTAAGAGAAAGGGCCAAGGTCGTCTCAAACAGGCAAGCCTGCCCTGTCACCCCTCCTCCTGCAGAGGGTGGGCCAGGTTGTGTGGGGGCTTCTGGACATGGGCCCTGCCTGTCACCAGGGAGGCCCAGTTGAGCACCCCTGGGCTCTCAGAACTTGTACTTCCCCCCACTTTCTAGCCCCTTTTCTAAACCGACCTACTTTCTTACAAAACACATTTTGAAACCAGACCTTTGCAGCTGACAGGTGTCTCTGGGTTTTGTACTGGTCCCACCTCAGGCCACCCTGCCCACGCCCCGGCCGCCTCCTCTCAGGACACCTTGGTCTTTCTGACCTGCTCGCTGCCCCTGCTGACCTTTTGGGGGTTCGCTGTCCGTGCCACAGGAATATTTTCTTCCTTGATACCCACACTGTACTGGGAGACCGAGGGCCGTGCATCCGCGTCCAGGCCCAGGCCCGCTGTGCAGGCTTAGCAGCGGGACGGAGCGCACACCCCCCCTCAGGCGGGAAAGTGTGTCATGAAGGGTTGTTTTATGTGACTGACCTTTTTTTTTAAATCAATGTTTAAGCTAATAAATATTTTTTTTACGAAGAGGAAAAACTGTGTAGATTACATTCACATTTTGTACTTTTTTGTTTGTGTCTGTATTTTGGTGTTGGTAACACCAAAGTGGGAAGCCCAGCCAGCCCGCTGGGTAGCCTGTCAGGGTGGATGGGGAACACACCAACTTTTGTATTAAGCTCTGGATCCTGACCAGGGGGTTCATTTGGACCCTGGGTTTGGGGAAATAGTCACAACACTGCCAGGACTCAATAGGGACCTCGACTCAAAAGACACAGCTCCTGCTTCCAACTTTGCACATCTCCCTCTATAAAAAAACGCAAAAACTGGAACTTTCTGCAATGTGATGGAAGATCACTGTCCTTCCCCTCCTTTGTGACAGGTGCAGGTCTAAGGCCACACTTAGTGGTGCTCATGCTCGGGTCCTGCCTTGTGCTCCGTACGCAGCCCTCTCAGAGCTCCTTGTCGGGAGGGTGCCCTGTGTGCTTTTCTTAAATATTTATTTTTTCAACACGCTTTCGACCTGTCAACAAAAACAAAAAACAACAAAAAAAGGGCCGTGTTTGAGGACTTGATTTTTCTGGGATAATCTATATTCTATTGACTTTATATTATTATAAACCTGTGTTGGCATTGGAGATGGTGAGCATTTGGGGGAGGAGGTTTTGTGATCGGTTGGGGGAACCCAGAGCTGCTGTCCGCTTCTCTGTTGCCTCGGGCAGGCAGACAGACCTCCTCCGGTGGGTTTGCGAGTTCTTGTCTGCCTGAGCTCTGGCCTGCCTGCGGATTTCCTTTCTGTGACGGGATTAGCTGAGACGTTCTTGCAAAGCGATCACTCAATAAATTGGGAAATTGCTGCTCAAGGAGATGCCTCGTGTGTATTTGAGACAGGTCCCCTCCCGCGGCCTTGCACTGAGTGGAGGTGGCCAGTGGCTGGCCTTTTGGGCCTGTCTACCCACCAACCAGGTCTGTGGCAGGGTCCCAGATCCATGTCGTGCCCCCCTCCCAGGAGGCAGGCACGGCTTCTGGAAAAACCCCAAATCTTTAATTTTTCTCCTCGCCTGGCACTGCCCAGACGCAAGACACCTGAGCTTCAAAAACATGGTACAAATGTCAGCCCCTGGGCCCTTGAACCATCAGGATAACTGCGACAGGGGAGACCTCCGACCCCCCCACCAAGTGCATCCAGGTCTGGCTCCCACGTGGCTTCAAACCTGGGCCTATCAGCACCCTTGACAAGTCCATGGACAGGCAGGGAGGACGGCCACCCCAGGGCCTGTGTGGCTTTAGTAGAAAAGGCTGGTTTCTTCGGAGGCACTTTGAGTGGTGGGACCTCCCCCGCCTCTGGGAGTCCAGGGTCACTGACGCCCCTCCGCATGAAAAAGTAGACCCTGTGGCTAGAGAGGCCCCGGGCAGGGGTGGGGTGCAGTGTGTGTTTTCCTGTAAGAACCCTGGTGGGCGGGTGCAGGGCTCAGCCATGCACCATAGTCCCAGGGGCTGCAACCTGGTGGTGAGCCCAGTGGCCGAGCCCCTCAGTCCAGAAAGCGCTGGCAGGCCTTCTTCCAGCGGCAGGCCGTGCACCACAGGTCCCGGCGCTCCGTGCCGTACACCTTCCGGCACTTCTTGGCGTCACCTCGGGGCTTCCTAGGGGAACACACAAGGAGCATGGAGTGCCATTGGGCCGGGACCCTCCCCACCTGTCGCCTGCCCCTCAACCCACACGCACCTCAGACTGGCACTAAGCTTAGAGGGCACGGCTGGCACGCAGACCCTGACTGTGCTGGGCTGTGGCTGCAGCTCGGTAGATGCCAGGCAGCCCTGCAAGGAGACAGAGCTGTGATCTTGCTCCCCTCCAGCGCACCCCTGGGACCCAACCCCAGCTGCTGCCTGAGTGACCTCACCCACCTGGTAGGAGTGGTCATTGTGGCACACCTGGGGGGGCGCTGCAGGACTCAGCACCTGGGGTGGGGGCAAGGCCAACGGGTGCAGCAGGCTGGGCAAGGCTGGGGGCTCTGGCAGCTCCAGGTGAGGGCAGGTGGGCAGCAGGGAGGCCGTGGGGGACATTGGGTTCAGGCTGGACAGCCCATCGGTCAGCACCTCCAGACCAATGCCCAGCTCCGTGTAGTAAAAGTCCTCCTCGCCATCACTCTGCTCCGGCTCTGCCTGCCGCCTGCTGGGGACATAGCAGGTGGGAGCTGAAGTGCTGGCCCACTTGGCCTGCCCCACCCCCAACCTGCCGGCCCCACGCACCCCAGGTGCGCCAGGCGGATGTGTCTCTGCATCCCGGAGGCTGTGCTCAGCACCTTCCCACAGCGCTTCCACAGGCACTGGAACAGGACCTGCCCTGAGCTCTGGGCGACAAGGGCTGTTGGTCAGGCTCGCCACCCATGTGTCCACCCCACCCTGAGCACTGATTCCCCCATCCCCTTACCTTCCTCTTCTGAGGGGCAGGCTCCCCAAACAGGAAGGCTGCCTCTGGGGGCAGTGGGGGTGATGGGGAGGATGGACAGGACTGCTCGCTGGCTGGGTCCCAGCCCCAGTCCCCACTGCTGCTGCTGCTGTAACTGCCTGGTGGCTGCCCCAGGGTCTGGGGCCAGGGCTCCAAGCAGGCGTCTGCAGGGACACGCCAGGCCAGTGTCAGGACTTCAGCGTGCTCGTGCCGCTCTGCACAGACGGCTGGCTGTGAGTCCCTTAACTCTGAGCTTCGCCTAATCACCTGTTCACAGGGAAGTTAGGTGGGCATGCAGCCTCCTGGAGGAGGTGGTGGCCAGGAGGAGCTGGCCACAGCAGCCTGGGGACTAATCTCCCTGGAACAGGAAAGGATAAATGCAAAGATGCATGGCCAGTGAGTGGAGATGCCTGCAGGCCTGGGGTACTGGGGCTTTGGCCTCAGTAAGGGCACTGGGGGTCCTAACGTCCATGTGTTTAGAAGGCGGTATTGCAAGCGAGGGCGTTCTGCTTGCCCCCAACTAACGTCCTGGAGGAACAGTGGCCTGGGCTCTGCCCCCATTCCAGGCTATGCAGGCCTCTGTCTCACCTGTGCTTAAGGCTGCAGCCGGGGGCCTCAGCAGGAGGGGGCTGGTGGACAGGCTTGTGAGGGCTGCGGCAGCCATGACCTCATCCAGCTGGACTTTTCCTTGGGGGGCTCTGGAGGACAATGGGGTGGGGGGCTGGCTGGTGGGGCCCAGCAGTACTCCAGACCCCTCCTCGGGCCAGGCACCATGTGCGGGCCTGGCATGTGTGTGTGCGCACCAGGCCCCTTGGCTCCGGGCTCCCCAGGCGCTGGCTGGCTGGGCAGCAGGCCCGGCTCCACCCCCAGCTCGTGTTGCAGAGCCCAGACCTCCAGGAACCACCAGGAGCAAACAGGGCCTGGGCTGGGGTCTTCCTGAAGCTCGAGTCACTCACACCTGGGCTCTGTTCCACAGCGTCTCCTTCAGGTCCTGGTGCTGGACAGGGGTCTGAGGCCCCACCCGGGCACAAGAGGCCCAGTCCTCCCCCAATCACACATTAACCAGGTTGTGCAACAGCAGTGGTGGGCCAGGAGCCAGGCCTGGGGGCGGGGTGGGGGCTGTAGGGAGCAGCCAGCAGTCAGCAACAGCCGAGGGAAACCTCCAAGTACAAGCGAGTCCCCAGGCCCCAGCAGGGCTGGGCCAGAGCCCGCCCAGGGCTGCACAGACAGCCCAGGTGTCCAGCACCCAAGGTTTCACGGCAGGGTTGGGGAGAGGGAGGCCAGAGGCCCGGAACCCTGGGGGTCAGCCTCGCGGCCTCTCCTGCAGAGACTGACAGCGGCCCTCCCAGCTGAGCTCTGGCCCTAGGGTGTGCGGGGGGGACAAGGGATACCAACACCCATCATTTCTGCTCACCTCGACCAGGCTGGGGAGCTGGGGAGTGGTTCGGGCCCTGACCTGCTCCCCACCTGACCCCGTGTGGAGTCGGGAAGGCACGTGCCCGCGCCCCACCCACCACCCTGCACACCAGGGCGCACGTGTGCGCACGCCCACCTCGGTGTGGCCCGCGGCTCACCTGAGCGCTGGCACCGGGATGTGCGCTGAAGGCGTCGGGGGTCCCGCTGCCGCCCCCGCCCCCGTCCCCGGAGCCCGCGGCTCTGGCTCCTGCGGAGGCGCGAACTCGAAGCCCGCCAAGCCGCCGCCCACAGCAGGGCCCTGCGGACCAGGAGTGCTCAGCGGAGGCAGCGGGCCCGGGGACCCCAGCCCCCACCCGTCTCCGCTCGTTACCCCCAAACCGGCTGCGGCCGGCGAGCCCCGCCCCAGGCCCCGCCCCCGGCGCGGCGCGGCGGGAAGTGGTCCCGGCGGCCCGGCCTCGCGGCCCCACGAACACACACAGGCCGCCGTCCCGCCCCCGAGGGCCCGAAGTTTGTGCAACCCCGACGCCATCCTCGCAGAGAGCGCACTCTGGCGCCGGTCCCCGGCGCCCGGTACCTGCGGCGGCGCGGGCACCGACACGGGCGCGGCCACGGGTTCCGGACCGGCGGCGCTGGGAGGAGGGTGCCCGCAGCCCCGGCCAGGCGCCAGGCGGCGCTGGGCTTCCATGGCCCGCCGACCGGGCGCCGAGGCTGCAGCGGCGAGGGCGGACGCTCGGGACGCGGCCCCGGGCCGGGCCGCCGTCCGCCGCCCTGGATCGGCCGCCGCCCGTGCCGCTCGACCCCCAAGCGGCGGCAGGCCCCGCCCCCTGGCACCCCGCCCCGGCGCGCGCTCATTGGGCCGCGCTCAGTATTAACTTTCCGAGGGGGACCGTGCTCTGGGCCGACCGCGCCCCCATTGGCCTGCGCTCTGAGGCCACGCCCCCTCAGGGCCCGCCGCTCCCGCGCTGGCCGGGAGAGGGGCCCCCCAGCTAGCGGCCCCCACCCACCCGCCGGCTCCCGGCCTCGGTGGAGACGCGGAGGGCCGGCTTCCTTGTGGGGTGCCCGAGCGCAGAACTGCCAGATCCGGAAAGGGGCCACGTCTCTTTGGCTGGGTTCCCTGGGGCCGGTTATTCTTTAACGCACGACTGCCCGCCTCTCCCACCCCTCATGGGACCCCTGGGCTGGGTGGCCCGAGCCCGCCCTCGGTGTCCAAGTCCGACCTTGGGGCAGCCACCCTGCCGGCCGGCTACACCCCCCTCTAGAACCAGCCTGGCCTGGCGACACTACCCCTAATCTGGTCTCTCTCCCCACACTGTCTGCGGGCCAGGGTGACAGGGCCCAGGCACCCCAGGAGGAGGCAGCCTGTCCTTGAGGTAAGGGGATGCTTTTTGAGGGGCTTTGAAGAAGAGCAGGCTGTGAGGCTCGCGGCGTTCATCCTCCCTGCGCTGGGCATTTATTAAGACGCTGGCAGGAGAGGCCAGGGCAGCCAGGACCCCAGACGCTCTCAGGCTGCCCTCAGCGGGTGACCGTGAGGGAAGAGGGACGCTGGAAGAAGAAACATCTGTACTTGGGTGCTAGGGCAGGGAGGGGTTGGAGACCCCTGTGTCGCTGAGCCCCGCAGGCTGAGGCAGGAGAAGCAGGAGGCCTTCATGTCTGATCTGTTAGCTGGAGCTGCAGGCTGCCGGCTTGAGCCCCCATCTCCTGGATGCTCTCATACACGTTTTCTAGGTCGCTGTGGGTATTCAGGCCCCTGAGTGGGAGGGCCTCGTAGTCCAGATTCCTCCCCCGAGTCAGAATTGCCACCCTGCCTTTGGGGTCCGGCTGGTCTAGGGCAGATCCTGGGTCCCTCCTTTTAGGCCTGCTGATCCTGGAGTATAGGGTATCCACCTGGAGGAAGCCCACCAGGGATGGGTCAGCATCATCAGCTCTGCCAAGGATCTACCCAGCTCCACCCACTGCACCCCACCCCACCACCTCCACTTTACCTGAGTGGCTGGGGTCCCCTGGGCCTTCCCCTGGTCCAGGCCTTGGGGACCCCGACCTGTTCCCTTGAACTTGTGGATACAAGCATACTCAGCCACCACCAATCTGGCCTCAGGCTCGTCTCCGGCACAGCTGCTGGTCAGCCCTGCCCCTGCCCACACCACGGGGCTGGCTGCCAGGCTGGCCCTGGGGATGGTTGCCAGCCCCACATTGGAATAGGTGGCCTCAGGGCCTGTGGAGGGCTGGGCAGCAGCAGTAGTAGGTGAGGTCTGGGGCAGATCCCGGTGTGAGAAGGCGGCTGGGGGCCTGGTGGTGTCTCTAGACACCTCCAGACATTGTAGGCGCAGGAGATCCATGCTGGCAGGCCGAGGGGCTGGCAGTGAGGTCAGGGCAGAGGTCAGTTGGGGTGGAGGGGTGGAGTCTGACCCTAGCAGGTTAGAAGGTATGGTACAGCCAGCCCCACCCACAACCTGGCTGCTCCCTTGGGCTCACCTGTGCGGTGGAGTGGGCCCTGGTGCAGCTCATGCAGTCTGGTGTCTGACTTGCTGAGGATGCAGAGGGGGGGCTGTCTCAGCAGTGACTGGGGGCAAGGTAGGCAGGTCGGTCCCCGCTGGCCCCGACCTGGCCCCAGGGACAGCCTGGCACTCACCATTTCCCCTGGCATCGTGGTACCCTGCAGCCCTGCTGGCTGCCTCTGAGCCTGCTTCCTGGGGGCAAGAGGGTCGTCAGGCCAGGGACACAGAGTAGAGGTGCAGGGGTATCAGCCTCTGGTGAAGAGGGACCTGCCTGGAGCCCCACCCCCTCTGGCCACAGCACTGAAACAGGTTCCACATGGAACCCAGGCAAGGGAGGGACATACCTGTGGCAGGCTGTGCACAGCACCCACAGCCAGAGGAGCAGGGTGAGGCACCCTAGGACCCAGAAGGCAGGAGGGGCTGAGGTTACCAGTGGCCCCATCCTGGGTAGCCCCGGACTGGCCTGAGGGCAGAAGACAAGGGTCCTGGGGACTGGCTGAAGGACTAGACACCCACCTGCAACCCCGCCTCGCCTCACAATGCTGGCGGTCTCCTGCCCTGGGAGCTCTGACTCAGCACACAGGAAACCCAAGGCTCAGCAGCCCCTCCTCCTACAGAGGCGGAGGACGCAGCCTAGCGCCCACCTTCCTTTCCCGCCTCTGGGTGGGGGCTCCTGGCCAGTGTGAGAATGTGTGCTCTTCCTGGCCTCATGTGTGCCCAAGCCAGTGACGATAACCCACATGACCGCAGAGCATGGCCAGAGAGAACCTGGCCAAGGCTCCACTGTGGTCACTACAACCCAAACCTGAGGCCTGGGGACGCCACTGAGGTCACACGCATGAGCCTTCAAGCCACAGGCCACAGACTCACCTGCAGCCCTGCCCTGCCCAGGTAAGGCCCTGTCTGAGGTGATGCCTTCGTCATTCACCACAGCTTGGCCCCCTGAGGGGCTGAAGAGGTGGGGGTCAGCTGGCAGAAAGGGGCTGCTTTGGGCACTGAGTACCCTCCCCCCACCTCTCCCTGGCTCTCCACCCCCACCTCCATTCCTGCTGTTGGACCTGTCTCCCTCCTGGGGCTTTGGCAGGGCTGCAGGGGATGGGGGTCCACTCTACACTCAGCAAAGCCTAGCACAGATATGGGGGGTTGGGGCTGAGTCTGCCCAGACCCAGGGAGTGGGCTTCCCACACAGGAGGTCCCAGTGGCGCGACCTGGTAGAGGCTAGTCCTCCCAGGCCCCGGCCCTCGAGTGCTGCCAGGAGGGCATGCAGCAGCAGGCCTGGAGAGCTGGCCAGGCTGGAGTTCGAAGGAGGCACTTACCAGGGCCACGGGTACAGGGCACTCCTCAGCCGCCTGGGCAGGCCAGCAGCTCCCAGAGCAGTGGTGCCTGTGTGCAGCTCCCCCACTTCCTGCCTGTGTCTCAGATTTCGTCTCAACCCCCAACAGCAGCAGCCGCCACCACCGCAGCCTCACCCAACTGCTGCACCCCAGGTGGGGCCCAGATAACACTCAGTGGGTGTGTGCTTCGAGCCCCCATGGTTTGAGCCTACCCCTCTGTCTCCACCCACGAAGAGGTGGGCACACACTGGGAGGAGACAGGCCACCAAGCACCGGGGGTAAATCCAGGCTCTCACACCCACCCACCAGGCCCTCCTGCTCCGTAAGCAGTGCTCTGAGGGCCTGAGCTGGCAGCCCCCCCACCAAGCTCGTCTGTGTGTGTTGGGCCACATGGGAACCCCCTGCGAGACCAGGGAAGATGACAGTCGCACTGGGCCCTCTGCCTCTGGGCTCACTGGGGACTCCTCCAGCCCAGCCCCACTGCCCATGCACAGACACCTCTCCCCACACACCACAGCCAGCCGCGCCACCACTAAAAGACAGCGACAAAGTCACTTTAATGTCCTTGATAAGCAGACACTGGCAGGGGGGCTCTGTGGGCACGTGAGCATCAAGACGTGACCCCTATACCCAATCTCCACTCAGCAATGTCCGCACACCCCGGCCTGGCAATAGGCTGACCGTGAGGTCTGGTCTGGGGGTGGTCCCTCTTCTGTCGGCATCTAGTTATTGGAGGACAGTAGGTCTTCCGGAAGCTGTGGGAGCTGGAGCTGAGCCCTGTCCCTGGCACATGCTGGGCTCTAGAACTCTGTCATCTTCTTGTGGGTGTCTGCCTTCCTCTGCTCCCGCTGCAGGCCCGCTTCCTGGGCCCGGAGCTGCCCCAGCTGCCGCTGGGCTCCTGCCAGCTTCTCCTGCAGCTGGGCCACGGTCACGCTGTGCCTAGAGAGAGGCTGCCACTCAGCATGGGCTCCCGGGCCACTGCTACAAAGACCCCAGGATGCTGTGGCCCCTGCCAGGCATCCTCCCACCATGCAGACCCTCCTCAGACTCAGCTCACCACCTTCAGGTCAGGGCGAAATCCTGCAGTTGAACTGCACTGGGCGCCCAGAGCAGGGCCGGAGGCATGGCCACCCTGGGGCCCATCCTCTGCCCCAAGTTCAGCCCCACACATACCGGCCAGTGTTGCGGGCGAGGGCCTCCTGGATGCCCCGGATGTCCCGCTGGGCCTGCTCAATCTTCTCCTCGGTCTGGAAGAGCCGCAGGCTCAGGGCCCTCTTGGTGCCCTTGCTGGCATGGTACAGCTCCTTGCCACTTCTCCTCCCAGGGGTGGCAGCTCCTGCCTCCAGGGTCCCAGGAGCCTGGCCCTGCAGCTTCTCATTCAGAAAGTCAAACACGCTCCGAGGGGGCGGGCGGCCCCCAGGCCTGCCTCCTCTGCCCCGGTATTTTGGGGCCCGACTAGTGCCGGCCTTGCTGCTCTTGGTCCTCTTCTGTAGGATCTCTGCACACTGGTCCAGTGACTTCCCTCGAGGCAGCACCACAGCGTGGATGGGCTCCACCCGGCCATCCGAGTGTCGGCCCAGACCTGGGGGCACAGGGGCTGGCACTGCTGCTGGATCCACTCCCACCACCCTGCACTGTGCAGAGGCAACCCAGACCCTTCCCCAGGGCAGCACCCACTCACTCACCCTTGCCAAACTCATAGCCCATCTTGGCGAGCAGCCTGGAGCCGATGCCCCGCGTGTGCACCTCCCAGCCCGCAAAGGCAGAGCTGCAGGCCCTGTGGTCGGTGGTGCTGGGTTCCACCACTGCAGGAAACAGGGCAGGGACTTGGCCCAGCTGCACAGGGAACACCTGGGCTCTGGCCAGCGTTAGCCCAAGAGCTCAGTCCTCTCTCCATCTCATGGACATGGGGTTTCAGAAACCACCAACACATGGGACAGTCCTACAGGGATGCCTCCCGTCTTCTTCCTCACTGACCCCTCAG